ATCCTAGTGTGTGTAGCACACCATGCTAGTGTGTGTAGCCCACCATGCTAGTGTGTGTAGCCCACCACCCTTGTGTGTAGCCAACCATCCTAGTGTGTGTAGCCCACCATCCTAGTGTGTGTAGCCCACCATCCTAGTGTGTAGCCCACCATGCTAGTGTGTGTACCCCACCATGCTAGTCTATGTAGCCCACCATGCTAGTGTGTGTAGCCCACCATCCTAGTGTGTGTAGCCCACCATCCTAGTGTGTGTAGCCCACCATGGTGTGTGTACCCCACTATGCTAGTGTGTGTACCCCACCATCCTAGTGTGTGTAGCCCACCATGCTAGTGTGTGTAGCCCACCATGCTAGTGTAACCAGTAGGAATGGTGACTACGGAGTTGGAACCGGCTCATAACGTTAAAACTAATGCTTGAAGTGACATGACTTGTGCTCATTGGGTGTGTAGGCGTAACATGGTTTGGGCAAATTGTCTGTGTAGACGTGACATGGTTTGGGCACATTGTCTGTGTAGACGTGACATGGTTTGCGCTCATTGGCTGTGAGCAAAGACACATGCATTTATCTGGTTAACCCATATTCAATTATACTGTGATATGAGCATTTCGTATGAGAAAGAAAAACACCATAATTAACCCTTTGCTACTTGGACCTCCCAAGTAGTTATTGTTTTAAAAAATGGGGTTGGGGGCAAAGGTGTTATGTTTGCGTTATATTTTAATTTCTGGAACTTGTTAAGACTTTACACAACAAAAGTATTGGTAAATAATGATATAAAACACAAAAAGCATTGGTAAATAATGTTATACAACACATAAAACATGGGTAAATAATTCTATACAACACATAAAGAAGCCAATGATGAATGCAAATCACAGACATCAATCTATTTCATAGTAATTTACCACCAAGTAGATTTGTTTTTTTAAAACCATTTCTACACCTGATGTAATGGTGTGGTTGTCTCTCTTTGGCTGGGGTCTCAAATGATAACAAGACAGAATGGAGTGGGTTAATTAAGTTTATGAAAATCCAGTTATATTATGCTACAGTCTACACAATATAACATTAAGAGGGTTTAAAATAAAGGTTTTGACAACGAATCCTATGACGACGTAACACAAAATGGCGTTTTTGTTTCTTGAATAGAATATGATTGAAAAGTCGAGACAGAATGTTAGTAAATTTTAGAATCTGGAAAATGTAAGTTACAGTATTTTGACAAAATGTTAAGTATTTGACAGAATTTTAGCAAAGTCTGGTGTGGAGCATTTGCTCCTGGGGACTCCCATGCCTAGCGAGGTTTTTGAAAATTTTTTCGAGACCTGGTGGTGGGATTTGTGCTTCTGGGGTCAGTTACCTGATAGCGCTCCGGAATTTGGGAACAGCTTCCCTAACCTAACAGACTTGTGCATATTTGTCTTCCGAAATGCATGTAGCCGATGGGAAACACTGTCTTAACCTAACACTAACAGCCTGGTGCATATTTGTTTTGCGGAATACATGTAGGCCTAAATGTTGTATATGCTGATAAGAATGTTTATTTGGTTAATAAATAAATCTATATTCAGTTGACCCATCCTCACAGCTCATGATGGTCTCGCTGGAGCATTGATCGCCAGCAGTAATGAGACAGGTGCGGTGTAATTTAAACTTGGGCCATAGCAGTCTTAGTCTTAGTTCTACGTAATCAAGTGTAATGGGAAACCACTCTCAACAACTGCTGAATACACATAATGATAAGGGTAAGGTTCACTGTGAATATATTACGGTATTGGATTATACAGCCAGGAATATATCACTAGAAATGTTCAATGCAATCGCTAGTTCAAGCAATAATGAATGTTATGTCCCTGTTGTAGGACTTAAAAAAGTTTTGTTGTTGTTTTGTACCGGCTGTCACCTTGATCAATTCATCATGTATTGGTTTGCAGTGTTTCTTTCAGAAAATTTGTAAACCCCCCCCCCCCGAATGGGAGAAATTCAGATGTTCGGGTGGGCAATGGCCCGGCCTAAAGTTTGGACAAACCCTAAAACCATTTATACAATTCCTACAACTTCAATGGTTAATGTTGTTCCTACAGTGATTTATATAATTCCTACAGTGGTTTAAATAGTTCCCAAAGAACAGAAAAATAAAGATTACTTTGAAGCTACCGTCCAATCTCACTAACACCACGTTCAGATGCGTAGCAAGAGTGTTAACTTTTACTTGCCCCTCAGCTCTGAAACCCATTATTTTCTTCAATAAAATACTATCAAACGGTTAGGCCTGCATGTATTTTGGCGCCTCCACTAGTCTAGCGCCCGGGGACATATGCCCCTGCTCCCTCCTCTTAGCTACGCCTCTGGCCGCCTTTTAGAAAATGGTAGAACAGGGTCGGCCTATTATATGTGGAAGCTTGCATCAAAAGCGAGACAATATTTGGAGAAGTATTGTTCTATCTTTCGATTCAAGCTTCCACATACCTTGATCTACTATTTCTTTCACACAGCTTGAACGCAGTTCTTCATTTATTGGCCGCTTTTATGGGAGGTAGCAGGCCGACAAATCAAAGAGACGAAATAATAATTTGACTGCTATTGAAATATTTAAATATAATAACTCACCCCCCCCCCGGCCAATAAATGTAGGTTTCTTACATTACATTTACTTGAGCAGTTAGTACATATTTAATAGTCATACTTAAGCAGTGGTTCTCACAGTTCATATACTTGAGCAGTGTTTCTCACAGTGCATATACTTGAGCAGTGGTTCTCACAGTAAATATACTTGATCAGTGGTTCTCACAGTAACCTGCATATAATTGAGAAGTGGTTCTCACAGTAGCCTACATATACTTGAGAAGTGGTTCTCACAGTACGCCTACATATACTTGATCAGTGGTTTTCACAGTAGCCTACATATACTTGAGAAGTCGTTCTCACAGTAGGCCTACATAATATACTTGAGAAGTGGTTCTCACAGTAGGCTACATATAATTGAGAAGTGGTTCTCACAGTAGGCTACATATACTTGAGAAATTGTTCTCACAGTAGGCCTACATAATATACTTGATCAATGGTTCTCACAGTAGCCTACATGTACTTGAGAATTGGTTCTCACAGTAACCTACAAATACTTGATCAGCGGTTCTCACAGTAGGCCTACATAATATACTTGAGTAGTAGTTCTCACAGTTCTTGAGAAATTGTTTTGAAAGTTGTGTTGTGGAAGTGTGATAGTGGCCGTCCATAAGGTACGTCACGCTCCGGAGAGTGTGGTGGGGGCTTGGAAAGTGCTACAGTTTGTGACATAAAAAGGGGGAGGGGGGCAATGTTCCCTTTATGCTGCGCGGCCGCGCAGCTATCTCACAGACGCCGCTCAGCAGTTTTGAGTACTGCGCAGCTAATTTCAATGTAAGTGGGTGTTTGTCTTTGTGGACAGTAAAATTTGCACACAAAAAAAAAATGATGCTGTAAAACTTTGCACACAACTGTAGGATTTTGAACACGAACCAACAAACCTTAGAGGGAACATTGTGGGGGGGGGGTGTTAAAAAAATATTTCGTGACGTCACACATTATTTTTTATCATACAAATATAACATAAAATTGACAGGGATTTTGAACTTTCTGTTGAGACAAACGTAGTCTATTCTGACAGAAGATGTCACTTTTATAAATTTAATAGTTTAATAGTAGCCTAAGTGAATTTAAATTTAACTTTAATCAGTTGTTAATTTCTTTTTTTTTTTTTAATTTAATATGAAAGTGTGACTTCTTGGGGGGGGGGGGGGGGGGGTGTGAATGTGGTGAGGGGGGGGGGGGGTTTTTTTCCCCCCCCCCCCCCAAAAAAAAAAAAAAAAAAATAGTGCGCCATTCTTTATGGACGGCACAATATCAATTAAATTGAAATGTTAGTCATTTTATATGCTAAACATCAGGAAGTTACTCCGTGGTGTAGCAGGTAGTAGGCTTGAGATAATTCAATGGAAATTGATTTAACNTTTTCATTTAATTTTAAACAAACAATACCCCCCCCCCCCGCGCTTATTTATTTTTTCTGCTGCCGGTACGTTTGATCCATTTAATGAGAGAGAGAAAAGTCCAGGCAAGACGTAATAAGGCTCATTAGCTGGAAAGGGTGGCTAAGAACATAGATAAATGAAAATAATGCGTGAATGCAGCAAAGAATAATAATTTCAACGTTTAAAAAATGCCACATTTCTCCCTATTCTCAAAGCGAGGCTAGTGTGTACTCAATCGCACTCCCAGTTAAATGTTGACAGTGTTGAAGTTAAAGGAACGGGCAAGGTGTGTAATCAGCTGTCTAGGGGCGTGGTTTATAGTACTTAAGGGCCAATCAAACTTCACCATCTGTCTGTTATAGTTACTGCTGTATTCCATCAACGTTTATTGTATAATATTATATACAAAGTTGTATAACGATTGTTGAAATATCACCCATTTCCAAAAATGAAGAACTAAGAAACATGCAATATTTTTAAAGCTCTCTAACTGAGAAATACTTAAATAAATAAAGTGTATTGTCAAATTAATAAATCGGAATAGAATTACTCCGAACCTTTAAATCCGGAAATAAGGATCTACTGCCGGTTCGACACGAGTGGGATTGTTTAGGTTTTTGGACTATGATACGTTTCATCAGAAAATAAACAAAACTACAAGAAACTAAGCTGCATAGATATGAAGACGATTTTACTGCGACTTATACATTACTTAATATCTTTAGGAGAATTTCTCCGTTATTTAATTTTATTTTTACCTACTCAAACGCTTAGCTTTTCAAAAAAATCTCCCTTTTCGATTCAAACAGACTCAAAAAATTTGAAAAAACTTCCAGCTCATATAGGTCTCCTAGTTGTGGAAGATGAATTTTCATTTCGTGACCTAGCCAATATGATAGTCTGGTCGGTCGCACTTGGGATTTCATATATAAGTGTGTATGATATTAATGGTAAGCTTTTGGTAATACCTGTCTGATTAAATATGTTACTTTGTCTTTAGTCTAAGTGACAGCAAAGACTAAGAAGACTAAAGTCCTCTGCCCCTAGCTAGACTTAGACCAGTGTTTCGAAACCAGAAGTAATCTGGTTAGTGTGGGCCAGCATGTAGGCCATATCTTGCCGGTCCACACAACATAAGACTAAGACAAGAAACTTGACAAAAGTTAAACAGCCATGCCATAATAAAAAAAAATGAAGCGTCTACTTGTCTGGTGACGAGACGAATAAGTTCTAGAGATATTTGTCTGGCGACCAGGTCACATGACCGCTGTAACAAAGTTGAGTGAGATATCTGTCCGTCAGCCTTGTCACTTGACCGCTAATAGTCTCATAAAACTGGCTTTGGAGATGCATGGGTGCGACGAGTATACACTTCATTTCAAGAAATGTTGTCGAGGGAGGGAAGAGGGGAAGCAATGCATCCTAGGATAAAGAAATACTGAGAGCGAGAGAGAAAGGATGAAAATGATTAGTGAGGGTGAAAAATAATTAATACGAGGAGGTCAAAAGTTCACAAAGAAATAGACCCAACATCTTAATATAGGGCCAATATAGTGTGCTGCGTGTGCTGTTGGGGTAGCCTACTTCTCACGCAATATTAATAGCCCAAAATAAAACTTAGGTCTATTGACAGTCAAATGGCAAGTATTAGTCTTATTTTCTTTGCTTTATATTTTAAATTTAGGCTACTAACAGCTAGGTAGAGCTTTATAAGATATTTAAACCAACAAAAATTTGCCAGCAAACTCTTGTCACATGACATGTTTGCCAGAATAATAACAGATACTAGTCATCCGATGGTCATGTGACATGCCTGCCGGAAGAATATCTAAAGCACTATTTGTGCGTACCCCGCATTTGTAGACACTGCCTGAAAAAAAATGTCAGCTAGCATTAAAAATTGTAGGCCCTAAATTATAATATATTCCTATGACATTTTCATTGGATTATCTATCATGGATTAAATATTAAAATATGTTACACTCTAAAAGTGTAATAGTAATATAAAATTAATTAACTGATTAACTACCAGATTGAAAAACCAGCTGTGGCTGAATTAAATTCCGATGCAGTTTTCTTACTTATAAAAATATTCTTTTCTTAATTATAAACACATTCTAATGATTAATAAACCATTTTGTAGGTAAATGAATTGTCTATTAGATAAACTTAAAACATTTCTTAAGGTTAAGTTTTGTTAGGAAATAATTAATTGTTAAATTAGCAATTACAACAGAAAAAAAAAAAATAAAATATAAATGATAAAATAAATGTGCCAATTTATGTATAAATTTAAAATTACCAAAACATTAAAGCCATTTATTTGGTGGTTTCCAAATAGATTATCCAATAAAAGAAAAATGGACCAAAGAACACAGAAACTGAATAATGTTTACACTTCCAATTAATTGTATGCCTTTAGCCTTTAGTAACCCTGTCACTTGTTGCCACCGTGAACAAGTTGTACAATTTTGTAACTAGCTTGGAAATTAAAACAAAATTAATTAACAACTCATTTCTTAAAACATATTGCCAATAGCATGTGGTTCAAATTTAAATATCCTGTCGGTAAATTAAAATCTCATGCAAAACAGGAACGGAAAAATATAAATATTTGACTCGATTTATGACAATACAAACATTGGAGCTACCAGCGGCTCGTGGCCATAACAAAAGAAATGCAGAGCCGCTCCCAACGTCTCATGGTAGTTAACCAGTTAATAAACATGGTACCGGTCCTTGATGCAATGGGGAAAATATTCCCCTGTCTGCCAAACATAACATTTGGAAAAACACTGCAATCTGCACTAGTAGACTACCTAAACCAGGGTTTCCCAACCTGGAGTGCATGCCTCCAGGGGTGGCATTTCAAGCGGTGTGAGGAAAAGTAGGAGTAATTTACTTTTAATTTGTGATATTAATGTTTATTTTAGGCAAATGTGTAGTTAGCGGCATGGGTTTTGCCAAGAGTTGTCTCACCCTAAGAGCAATGATGTCTTTATGGGGAATTCCAACACTTGGCAGGACCAACACTTAGCCATAACAATAATTATTAAATCCATTAGAAGTCATTGTCTCTTGTAACTGCCAACCTGTCCAGAACTGCCATTTCAATTTCCTTTTTTGCCAACATACAGAGGTTCTCCATTCTGTGTTTGGATGGACAGTAAGGATCAACAAGTTTCATCTCAAAAACAACTATGTGGCATGTTCAAATATGGCATTTTTTTGTCATCCAACATCCAAAAAGGATGTTCGCGCCCGGAAGAATATATCTGAACATTTTAAACTGTAACATTTGTTTGTCTACAAATTCATGGTCTCCCAGCCGGCATTGACTTATTAGTTAGGTCTACATACATGTTTTTTTGTTACAAATAGGTCTATGGGCTATTAAGTATTTGTCTGGAAATGTAGAATGCTGGCATTAATTTCATTTTTTTCTTATTGAAATAAGTATGTTCAAGTTAATGCATAGGCCTATATGGATTAAAATTTGCTACTTAGATTAGAGTTTACCAATGTAGTCATAAATTTAAATAAACTTGCTAAAATAATATTTTACCCCAGCCTTTATTTTTTAATGTGAGACTTTTTTTAGTGAGGTAAGATTAAGTACGGTAGGCATAGTAGTACTATGTTTGTATTGAATGGTATTTGATAACTCTTTGTGAGCTTTTGGATGATTATAAAGGTCTACCTTTAAACTAAAAGCCTACAAAGTGCTTGCTGATTGATAACCATGTGTTGAGTTTTAGTAGACATTAAAACTGTTTGGGCATTATAATTAGGCCCTAACAATGAAGTTGTATACTTTTGCAATGCCTATTTGGTTTACTTCACTCAGCACACTACCAATATTCAAAATCATCAATGAAAAATAGTCTTATTTGCATAAATAGATTAACTACAGTTTGTGCTGTCGAATTTTTGTGTGAATGAAAATGGTTGTCTGTATTGTCTATATTCTCCCCACATTATTATGGTCCTCTCTATTGTCTAAATTCTCAGCCAATTATTATCCAGCTAGGAGTAGGACTTCAAGAGGTGACGCTATAAGTTTTTATAATTAAATGCATCTGCTTGCATAACCTTACATGGCACATTTTCACAATGGTGCACTCACTACCCTATTTGGTGCACTGACTACCCAATTCAAATTATTATATTTGATTATCATATTTAAATACCAAAAATATATAGTCTATAATAGGGGCAAAACGGTTTTAAAAACCAATAATTGGAAATCCCATTATCATTTAACATCACTAATACTAATGTTTATACTTGTTTATTCATTAAAATGTGGTAAGTCATATTATTTTACAATTACAAATGTATCACATTTGTCTGATATTTGCTACAGGTGAAATTAAGCGAAACAGTGTACTATTGCAGAAAGACATAGATAAGAGCAAAGAGGATATCATAGGCCAGGATAAATGTCATTATGACATTCAACTCTTTTCATCTTCACACCCTGTAACCCAATCAAATGCAGGTATTTATGAGCTACTTTGTATTTTAATCATGTTTTGATTGACTATTGTTACAATGTTTAGAAGAATGAAAAGCTGTGATGTTAATGATAATGTGTCATGTTAATAATAATGTATAGTGTTGGCTGAAAGATCATCAAATTTATATAAATAGTTCATATTTTTAGATCTTTGCCAAATTCAACAAGCTGTAAAACTGCATATTTTAAAAAGAGATTTTTAAAAATTTATGTAATCTAATTATCTTTCAGAATATTCATTTTGATTGTTAGCAGTTGTGAAATTTTTTTCTGCAACTTTATAAAATTTCTTTCTTAGGTGCATCAAAAGTTCAACAAGCTAAAGTTCATTTACTTTGTGTAGAAGATGGTCATAGACGAATAGTAGATATGGCTCGACAGCTTTGTCATAATGTTAATTATGGATTGTTGAAGATTGATGATATCACACCTTCAAATGTGGATAGTTTTTTTCAAGGTAAAAAGTCAGAATATATTGTTTATTACTACCAGTAGAAAATGTTGCTAGAGTATGTTTTGACGTACTACAATGCTACTTAAAAAGTCTCTACTACTAATAAAGTCTCTACTACTAACAAAGTCTGTAACTGTTCTGTTAAAAAAGACATGTTCTTTATGTTAGTAATATCAAAACCTCTTTTTTACTCATTCCTAGTCTTGCAGCTAAATGATCTGAGCTTTCCATCAGTTATTACCTCCATGTGTCAGTTATTACCTCCATGTGTCAGTTATTACCTCAATGTGTCAGTTATTACCTCTATGTGTCAGTTATTACCTCTACGTGTCAGTTATTACCTCTATGTGTCAGTTATTACCTCTATGTGTCTGTTATTACCTCTATGTGTCAGTTATTACCTCTATGTGTCAGTTATAAGTTATTACCTTTGCTCTTATTTCTACGATATGTCTTCTGAAGTGACAAAATAGAATTTTTAGTCCATGCTAGTGCTGGTATTTTTTTGGCCATTAACATTATATTTCTCTTAACTTTCATCTATTTCTGGATGCAATTGTCGTAAGTTTGTTATAATTAATCAACATTAAGGAGCTTAGTAAACGAAATAAAATTATAATTGAGTCAAAAGTTGCTTACATTTCTTCATTCATGAGTGCAGATTGAGCCTAAAAGTCAGCTTGATGTCTGGAAAATGATGACTTTGATTTAATCAAGACAGTCTTGAAGCACCAGTATATATTTCAATTGATTTTGATAACAGAGTATTTTTACTGCTTCATTGAGTAAATTAATCATGCATTTACAGAATCCTGGCAGTTTCCTGACCCTGAGCTTTGTATCAAGTTTGGTTCTGTGGACAGTTTATTTGGTTATTTACCATGGCAGATAAGGCTGACTGAGATTATGTAGGTTTTCTCACTCATCATTTTGTTTTATATTTTTGAAAACCTTTTTGAGTTACAAGTTTTTCTTCGATTATAAAGAGAAATCAATTTAATATGTGCATCTGAATAAAGATATTATCCTGCAAAAGAAAAGAAAATATTTAATAAATTTAATAATATGTGCTTTAAATTGTATTTATTATTTTAAATTTGATACCGTAACTATCAATGTCTTTAATTACATTTTTTATTCACCACAAGCTAAGTCTTCAAAGGAACGTTATGAAACAGCTCTGCCCTATATTATATGTCCACACAAATTGAATGTTGACAATTTGAATCTCCTCAGATCCTTACCATCCCATAAAGGATTAAGCTATAAATCATTCCTGTCGTTACTAGTTCAGTTTGGGAATACCAGCCAGCGCTTTGGAAAGTAGCAATCACAGCACGGACAATGTTAGCTCATGTTATTGTAAATGTACCATGCCATCATTTTAAGTTTAAGTTGATTCCATTATTTCCATGACTTGTACATGTTGCTTGTACACGTTGCTTGTGTTTATGTTCAAGTTTGTCTGAGTCCCAAGTAAGAATGAGGTTAAGTCAATCACAGCTGCTGTTGTCAACAGTAAGAGGTTGTGCATGTCTGAGGACGGTAGAGGTAAAGACTTTTGACTGTATTTTAACATTTTGAAATTGGCAATTCTGGTAAACTGTATATGGTACTTAAAAATTTAAAGCAAGTCGTTATTAGATTTGTTGGAAAAGTTGTCTGATTTTCTATGTTACAAATGACCTCCTAATGGTTGGCTATGTGAGTTTTCTGGGTTTATAAAAGTTTGAGGAGCTGTGTAAATAGGGTATATATGGGTATTATAGATGTGTCTGGCTTAATGGAGACATGCTAGGTTTGTCTTAAGGGAGACATGCTAGGTTTGTCTTAAGGGAGACATGCTAGGTTTGTCTTAATGGAGACATGCTAGGTTAGTACAAGACAAGATGTAATGTAAGGTTTGTATATTAATAATTATTCAATACATTTTGATTTTTACAAATAGCTTTGTCATGAACAACGACTGAAGGCTTTTCTAATGATTTCTTGGGCTTTGAAATTTGAAGTCATGAATATTATTTTGTTTAATATTGTCTCATTCTAGACTTTATGATAATGCAACAATGAAATACATTACAGTAATATTTCTCTCACTTTGTGCCAAGACAGAGGAAACCAAACAATGACAATTGTAAACATATCTCCTTGCAAGGTACAGATCTACTGAGACAGTTTTATTTTAAATAACTTGGGTAACAATTTCAAATTTGATTAAGTGAATCTAATGTAATATTTTAATTAATATACAGGTAGACAAAATGTATGTGGATTTAGAAGTTTTGAAGATATTTACAGAGTAAAAGAAAAAGTGGACAATAAATGAAGATAAGAACAAGGAGTAGTTGTCCTTTTGGTCAGACTCTGCAGGAGCCCTGATGAATATAATTCAGTTTATTCTAACCTAGAAATTCTACTTCTTGCCTTTGATCAGAGTTAGGTGAAATTAAGATGGTGACATGAGAAATGAAATTAATACTGGTATATTTTACAATCAAATACCTGATTATGAATTATGCTGCTGTCGCATTTTCAATAAAAAAATGTTTAATTTTGTTACGCATGTTGTAAATGAAGAGTTTTGACTTCAACAAAATTCGCTGGAAAAATAATTAAGATTTACGATCATTGAGTATCATTTTTCCCCATTGCATGAAAAACTGGATTTGCATTTTTAAATTCCCAAGTTGTTTTTTCTATAACCTCTTCCTGCCCAACTGTCATTTGCTAGACTGTTTCCAGCTGAGAGTTTCTGGTCACTGCAGCGTGCATGTTACCATTTTTTTCACAAAATTGAGTAAGTTCCATTAAAGTAATTAATTAAGATACATGTAGCGTCTAGATTTTCTAACACTTGTAGAACCATTAAGTACGGGTATTTAAACATCTTATCTTCTGATCCTTAGTGGAGACCCCTGTCCTTAGTGGAGACCCCTGTCGTGGAGTCAATGTTTTTTACAAGTTTACCAGTGATTATAAAATATTGAAGTGTAAAACTGGGAGGTTGTTAGCGGATAGCCTAAGTGTAAAACTGGGGGGTTGCTAGAGGATACCCTAAGCGTAAAATTGGGAGGTTGTTAGGGGATACCCTAAGTGTGCCAGATTTCTTATAAAAAATTAATGATGTTGCAGAAAGCTACCGGGTATATCTATAGTCGAAGCTTTTGGTGACGTCAAGTTAACTGAGTTGGTATAAATTAATGATAATTCATAATAACTGTTAGGAACTCAACAAACAATATCATTGTTCATGTTCCCTTTGAATATTTCTATAACTATAAGACATATAGATCTGTGAAAATTTCATTGAACATGTTAATTGTAGTTTTAGACAAGGAATATTTAATCAGGAGTTTATGCATTTTCATGTCTGTGATAATCTTAATGTATTTTGGAGAAATGGTTTTGAAATTAAATCCCAGTGACACCTATTGAGTAATATCAAGGATCAATCTAGAGATATGTACTTGGTACTATGGTCATTGGATGTGGATCAATTATGGCATATTTGGCTTACATAAAGCTGTAAGCATAAATATAACTCTATAATTTTAAAGCTGGCCTTGCTATTTTTATACTAAAATTTCCCCGTCAGTACCACTGTTGCTAGTATAGGATACAGCAAAACAATATTCATTTAATTTGTGCTGTTTTAATGTATCGGTTAATATAAGTTATAACTGGGAGATTCAATGCTCGGGCTGAGGTAGCAAAGACAGGAAATAAGCCATTGCTGGTCATTCCTCATTTGTATTCTAGTTGATTGCTAAATATTTGCTATTCTTTTGTAACCAATGGCGCCAAAGTTGACTTTTTATTGTGTAGTTACTAGAGCTAAAGCTTTAGAATTTGTCAGGGATGAAGGGAACTACTCGCTGTAATTTTTTGTTCACTTTTTTTGTTGTTAACTGTGAATGCATTTTGTCTTCTACTGATAGGGAGAAACAATTGAATGCCACTAACTGAAGTCATGTCAATTTGACAGATTTTTTTTATCAATCATTGATTCATCATGAAATGTTCATTATAAATTAGATGTCAATTACATTATATACAAATATATATATAATAAAATGTATATATATATTCATTCAAATGTGTTATTATTCAATCAGTGACATTCTGTCTTAATCCAAGCATATACTCAAGCTATTAAATTGCTGTTACTGAGGTACTGGCGCTAAATGTAACTCTTCAGGTCAATGTCGCCAACTTAGAGTAGCTTGGGACAAAAAAATTTATTTTAAAGGGAAGTAAACTATGTTTAATAACGTGGTATAGCTACATTGACACAATGATGTACCCTGAAGCTGTTAACCACCCCACTGATGGAGCTGTGTGTTCTGAACTCATCCAAAGATACAGTACCGGTACTACTAGTACCGTTACCTGTTACGTCAACTTTGTTAACAGGCAATTCCAGATGTTCACTGGAAACATCAGCATACCCTAATAGGTTTGCTCATAACAGCCATATAGTTTTGAGTGCTGTCATATTAACTTGATTGAATCTGATCATCACTTCTTTTGTTAGCTCATTGCTGGTGACCACCATTCATATGGTGTGATAGATTCAGACATTGCTGGTGACCACCATTCATATGGTGTGATAGATTCAGACATTGCTGGCGACCACCATTCATATGGTGTGATAGATTCAGACATTGCTGATTATCACCATTCATATGGTATGATGGATTCAGACATTTCTGGGGGCCACCATTCATATGGTATGATAGATTCAGACATTGCTGGTGACCACCATTCATATGGTGTGATAGATTCAGACATTGCTGATTATCACCATTCATATGGTATGATGGATTCAGACATTTCTGGGGGCCACCATTCATATGGTATGATAGATTCAGACATTGCTGGTGACCACCATTCATATGGTGTGATAGATTCAGACATTGCTGGTGACCACCATTCATACGGTGTGATAGATTCAGACATTGCTGGTGACCACCATTCATATGGTGTGATAGATTCAGACATTGCTGGTGACCACCATTCATATGGTGTGATAGATTCAGACATTGCTGGTGACCACCATTCATATGGTGTGATAGATTCAGACATTGCTGGTGACCACCATTCATATGGTGTGATAGATTCAGACATTGCTGGTGACCACCATTCATATGGTGTGATAGATTCAGACATTGCTGGTGACCACCATTCATATGGTGTGATAGATTCAGACATTGCTGGTGACCACCATTCATATGGTGTGATAGATTCAGACATTGCTGGTGACCACCATTCATATGGTGTGATAGATTCAGACATTGCTGGTGACCACCATTGATATGGTGTGATAGATTCAGACATTGCTGGTGACCATCATTCATATGGTGTGATAGATTCAGACATTGCTGTCGACCACCATTCATATGGTGTGATAGATTCAGATTTTGCTGGTGACCACCATTCATATGGTGTGATAGATTCAGACATTGCTGATGACCACCATTCATACGGTGCGATAGATTCAGACATTTTTGGTGACCACCATTCATAAGGTGTGATAGATTCAGACATTGCTGGTGACCACCATTCATATGGTGCGATAGATTCAGACTTTGCTGGTGACCACCATTCATACGGTGCGATAGACTCAGACATTGCATTTATACACTACGTTCACAGACTATCACTTGAACGCTACTTATATAGACGACCATGACTTTGAGTTTGGTGAGGGGAAAATGACCAAATCATCTCATTAACAAAGTAGCTGCTGTAGCGTTACACCTTGCCAATGAAAAAACCATTGTATAATAACCTGACAATTGTGTGTGTTGTTTCCCTTGGATCCCTCCTCCACCCACCTCTCTCTCTCTCTCTCTCTCTCTCTCTCCCCCTCTCTCTCTCTCCCGGTCTACTCTATTATTATAAGGTTTCTCAGAATAAAATGTTGCACAACCCTGTGAAAATTCACTCAGAACTTTATTATTCAATAAAGTATAGTTTAATTTTTAATGTTGTTATTATTACAGTGGTCTTATATAGAGCGGTATCCCAGACTAGGGCTCGGTTCACCGGTATGCCAGTCTAGGGCTAGGCTCACCGGTATCCCAGTCTAGGGCTAGGTTCACCGGTATGCCAGTCTAGGGCTAGGTTCACCGGCATGCCAGTCTGGGGCTAGGTTCACCTGGTATGCCAGTCTAGGGCTAGGTTCACCGGTATGCCTTCTAGGGTTAGGTTCACCTGGTATGCCAGTCTAGGGCTAAGTTCAACGGTATCCCAGTCTAAGGCTAGACTCACCGCGCTTCATGTAAAATTTAGCATAAAGGAAAAAAAACGCCTAATTGTTTTCATCAATTAAGTTTTTCTTGTTAATTATTCCGTGTCTCTAACAAACAATGTACTCTTATACTTATAAGCCTCCGTTGGGTTGCATAAAGGACGTCCAAACAAAATACATATTTATCCACCCCACACCCTTTTCCGCAATTATCTGCATGTTGCCCCCCCCCCCCCCAAATCCGGGGGGTTGCAGACGCCCACTGGAGCTTACAACAATTTACAGTGTGAAATGTCAGTAGTATAAAATAATAAAATGCGAAGATTTAAATTTCAAAATCAGAAGTCAATGCTATGGGTCCGCCCATTGATTATGTATGGAGGAACTGTTCGGTAGAAATTAGAGCAATGTTTCCTTTCTATCCTCAAACTGTTGCCTTGTGTTCATGAAGTGTAAAGACATGGTATGGTAAACTTGAATTTATTGACAGGACCAAAGATTGACGTTTTTATCTTGTATGCCTTGTGTTTATACTTGTAGCTTTCACAACAGTGATGGCTATAGATATGCGAATATGTGCCTGTGGCATAACAAGTGATGTCATTATTTCATTGGACGGCAAAGCAAAGAAAGTCTGTGCAGAAATAATTTTTAAAAAAATAAGAGATTTTAAAAAAATCTTCTATGTTGAATTGAAATCTTTTGGCTTCTCAGACTGCCTTACTACCGTTCTGCAAAGACTGTCTTTGACATTTGCTTATACATTTTATGAAATTTTCAGAAAATTATTTTCTACCTTATTTTTTATAGTGCGCTTTTAAGGTCGTCTTCGAAAGAAAGTCTCCTTTTATATATATATATTTTTTATTTACCGGTAAATAGAATTTAGATTCATGTACTTGCTGTACATTCATGATTAGATTCTCAAATGCCAGATACAATAACTGATGCAAATAACTTTGTACATTCATGATTAGATTCTCAAATGCCAGATACAATAACTGATGCAAATAACTTTGTACATTCATAATTAGATTCTCAAATGCCAGATACAATAACTGATGCAAATAACTTTGTACATTCATGATTAGATTCTCAAATGCCAGATACAATAACTGATGCAAATAACTTTGTACATTCATGATTAGATTCTCAAATGCCAGATACAATAACTGATGCAAATAACTTTGTACATTCATGATTAGATTCTCAAATGCCAGATACAATAACTGATGCAAATAACTTTGTACATTCATGATTAGATTCTCAAATGCCAGATACAATAACTGATGCAAATAACTTTGTACATTCATGATTAGATTCTCAAATACCAGATACAATAACTGATGCAAATAACTTTGTACATTCATGATTAGATTCTCAAATGCCAGATACAATAACTGATGCAAATAACTTTGTACATTCATGATTAGATTCTCAAATGCCAGATACAATAACTGATGCAAATAACTTTGTACATTCATGATTAGATTCTCAAATGCCAGATACAATAACTGATGCAAATAACTTTGTACATTCATTATTAGATTCTCAAATGCCAGATACAATAACTGATGCAAATAACTTTGTACATTCATGATTAGATTCTCAAATGCCAGATACAATAACTGATGCAAATAACTTTGTACATTCATGATTAGATTCTCAAATGCCAGATACAATAACTGATGCAAATAACTTTGTACATTCATTATTAGATTCTCAAATGCCAGATACAATAACTGATGCAAATAACTTTGTACATTCATTATTAGATTCTCAAATGCCAGATACAATAACTGATGCAAATAACTTTGTACATTCATTATTAGATTCTCAAATGCCAGATACAATAACTGATGCAAATAACTTTGTACATTCATTATTAGATTCTCAAATGCCAGATACAATAACTGATGCAAATAACTTTGAATAAGTTTATGTATAGACTTTTTTTTTTACAGTACCGGTACTGGTCTGGTACAGACGGCTGATGGCACGGTAGTGTTTCAGATAATATGGAAATTGAAAGACAATGAACAATGAAAAAAACATTTAATGTCATTCTAGTATTCAGCAATATCAAAATGATAATTATTTTTACCGGGTATATCTTAAATTTAAAAAAAAAAATGTTTATGCAAATCTCTCAATAAGATTTCCAATGGTCACCAATGTAACAAGTATATCTTTCTGGTATTATATTGTTTAATGCATACAATCATACAGAGGAAAATCTTTTGCACCACATACTTTTCTAGATGGATTGGTGGATCTTGAACAAATTTGGGATACATACGTTAAAAGACTTCATTATCTATAGAAAGAAAGAAAGGTTGAGCGGACTTGAAGTTTAAAAACGACAATAACATATGCCGTTGCGGGTTAGGGGCCCAAATGTATTTCTTCTTCTATGAGCTACCGGTACATAAATCAAATTACAAGTATTGAAAATACTTTTTGTCATTTTTTTCACCAAATTTTAAACAACATTTTAATGGCTAAATCTAGATTAAACTTGTTACAAAGGCACTTGAAAATCTATATTACCGATACAAAATGTTCATGAACAGTAATGTAATTTTTTTTTTATTGGGACAAATTCTCAATTTTAACTTTACAATTTATCTGAGAAAATGGATTGGACCACTATCTTAGAGCTCATTAAAAGTTCACTGTTACACACTGCCTTCTCTTGTGAGAAATTAATCTCTTATTTTTAATGTTATGGCTCGTTCAAACAGTGCCTAACAAAGGACGATACCATAGAAATACGATAATAACGATACGACATCCAAAACAGTTGCCAGTGACAATTAATATGATTTAATTTAGT